TTTCCCAATCCATTGGAAATATTCTGAAGTTGTTAGGGTATTAAAACTAACAAATCCTCAGACTCTCATAATTCATGTCGCCCAATCAGCCTTCTTCTTTCCTTTTCTAAATTATTTGAAAAAATATTCTTAGTCGTCTTGATTCTCTTGGTGTATTTAAATTTATTCCAAATCAGCAATTTGGTTTCAGAAAGTATCATTCTGCTGTTCAACAATGCCATCGATTAGTAGATTATATTTCTTTCTATAACAAATGAATTTTAATTAATAAAAGTTTCACGGAGATAGAAAAAAAAGGTACTTAAAGGAGAAAAATAAAACAAATGAACGATTGTATAGCTGAAATGGGCAACAAAACACAAAAAATGGACTGGACTGGAGAGAAATGTTTTCAAATTAATGAAAATTTAACAGCATTAGTTGTGAGGTGCCCCTTACCCATGACGTCGTTCATATGAAGAAATTATTCAAAATTGCATATAAAAAACTGTAAAGCATCCTGAAAATGTTGCGATCTGGGATTTTTTCCTACTTTGGAATTAGCTAAATGTTTATAAATGTTACTTCTAATATTCTACAAGTAAGTTTGATTTCCTAGAAGAGAAACCACCTGTTACACAATCAAGAATTTTTTTTTAAAGATGATACTGCTCCATGTCACATAGCTAAATCTCAAAGTATTCATATTTATTGATTAAAACAATCTTACCACTTGAATTTGTTGCATTGTTTTCTTTTCATGTACATTTAATTCATTTTTATTAATTAAAGGGACCTCAAGTTTACCATGGCTAGTGAGTCCATAATTATATCCCATAAAGAATCTATAGCTGGTTATGAAGAAAAATATTGAAGTAATTAAATCGATAAATAAAGAGAGATTGAAGGACATAGTTGAAAATTGTTGGAATCACATGATCGGTGATGAAACCATAAAACATTTTTTCGAATTAATACCAACCAGAATTGCTTCAATAAGGTGGTTTCACAAATTAGTAAACGGAAAACAAATGTGAACAAATGATATAATATTTTCACGTACTTAACGTACGTTGTATTTTCTTTGTGAAAAAATAATTTTCTATTTTACAAACATTTTATGTTTCTATATTTATTTTATTTTACAGATTTTCAAGTGTTTATGCTTAAAATTCTTTGCTTCTCTATAAATTATATTAAGTTTTTGTTAACACTGCTTTTCTTAAAATATTCGTCAGTGATCGTTTTTGAAAAAAATAAAATTTAAATTAACTGCCCAAGATTTGCATCTGTAAAAACTCCTCTATGGAACAAATGGCTAAAAAAAAAAAAAATAATAATTTTATTTCTCTTGATAGCGTAAATTCTGAAACTATTCAACTCTTTTTTTTTTTTTTAACACCGATTATTCAGAGCCGATTAAATGAGGTTCTACTTGTGAAAAGTGCTACCGACTATTTATTAAAAGTTAGAGGAATTCTCCAAAGACTGAATTTTCAGAATTGCCCCAAAGCTTAGAAGAAATAGATTTATAGGTAGTGATATATTGGCTAAAGTAGGGGACCAATTAACGGTGCTCCTAGATTGTACCACAGCCAATCGACTAGCACTGAGTGATTTAGCTGCTCCAACTGTAGGCCACGCAATTTCGCCTTTTCCATCTACGCAGTCGAATGGTATGCTTCACCAAAGGTGTCCCAGATAGTTTGATGTTATACTAAAGTCGTTAAAGAGCGAAGACACAAAGTACAAGGAATGAACTTGAAGGCCAGCTGGAGAAGAAAAAAATTTTAAAAAAAAAGTACAAAGAAATAAAAATAAGAAAAATGAGGATTGGAAAGGAAAGGTATCTGCCAACTACAAACTTTGTAATATAAACCAGACAACATTGTGATATAATAATTAAGAATTATTTTATTCTCACTTCTTGGCCATAAGTTAAATTTATTTTTAAAAACACTTATTTTATAGAATTTTTTTTTTTGTACGTTTCGGTGATTCTTTGGAGAAAACATAAATTTACTATTTACGTTTCTCAACTCTAAATGTGCTTAAAACTTTTTAGTTGAACGTTTGATCACTGATCAAGACTCATCCACATATGAGCCTTGATCAGTCGCCACATATGACGCAACTTAGGCAAATATGTTTTAAGGTTTTAATAAATTTTATTTTAATATAAAATTATTTTAATTAAGCTGTTAATTTTTTTAAAAATCAGTTAAAAATGTCAGTGATTACTTTCTGAGCTCCCTCATAGTCATTTAGAGCTTTTGATTTAGCGGCTTTCCTTTTTTCGCACATGTTTAAGCAATCTTCATCAAACCACGGTTAGTTATTTTTATTTTCGTTTTTTCCTGGAAACGAGTTGCCGACCGCTTTAATATTATCTCTGATCTCTACCCATAACTTAGCAATATTCTCGCGGCCCTCGTCAGAAGATTTTAAAGCTTCAAAGCTATTCTTAAGAACTTAAATAATGTTAACATCTAGCTCGAATTGAATTATAATTGATCAATTTTTTAATTTTTCCAAATTAAAATTCTCGAAATCAAAACCGTTTTCTTTTCTCTTTTTTATATTAAGTTTTTTGTCGAAGTTTTGCTATTACTCATTCATGATCCGACCCACATTCTGTTTCGCGATACGATCGTACATTAATTATTGTGCTTTGCCAGCAATGTTGTATCAAGACATGATCGCTTTGATTTCGTGTTTGCGAATCCGGTGATGCCCAGGTATATTTATGAATATCCTTATGATTAAACGTAATACTTTTAATTATAAGGTTTTTCGAGATGGTAAAGTTTATCAGACGGGTCCCATGATCATTACTATATTCTTGCAAACTTTCTTTACCAATCTTCGAGGCATAAACTTCTTTCCTTCCAACCTTTGTGTTTGTGTCACCTACAATTATTTTCATGGAGTTTCGCGGTAGTTTGTCATAAAACCATTCCAGTTAATCGTAAAATTCGCATTTGACTCGCACTGTCTTCGGTCGGACATTGTATGTTTATGAAAGCGATTTTAAACCAACATCCCTAAAATATCACTACCAAAATTCTATCACTAAAGAATTGTGTATCACTCAAAGCGGATAGAAATCTATTCCTAATTAGAAACCCGGTACCTAAACAATGATTCCCGCTTCCTCCGTTCCAAATAGTGTACTTCCCTTCCCTCATCGAGCCCTCCCCTGACCAGCGAACCTCTTGCAGAGCCACGACATCCAAATTGTACCCATTAACCTCATTCGCGACCGATTTTAACCCCTTGCTGTGTTTAAACTCCTCACGTTCCACGTACCAATATTCAAATCCATATTTTTCAACTTGCCCCATGAATCCCCTAAAGCAGTCCCCATCCGAAGACCCGAAAGGGGGACTAGTTTACCTCCTGATACCTCCTAGTTTTACCTTAGGGAGATCCATGACTATTTGTGGTGTATGGTGAACTAAAGATATGTGAGTAGGGCGTTCAATCCTACATCACACCCTCCAGCAAGTTTGGTGGGTCCCTGCCTCCAGCAAGTCTGGAGGGCCCCTCTCATTGTTGGTCAGCGAGTTCATCGAACTTCAGCGGGAGGATCTTTCAAGGAATTTTCACCGACCATCCTCATATCCGCCACCCGTGGGACGCTTCTCATACGCGGTAATGAGCCCGCGCTAGATTCAAGCTTTAATAATTTAATAAATCATTGCTACATATTTAACAAGTTAATATTTAATCAAACTATTGATAATTAATTATAACATAACTAATGTTGAACATGTGATTTAAGCAATCATGTGAATTATAACATTCAAAAACATACAATGAGGTTTTTCAGCTACCACACAAAAATTGGATTGAATCCAAGTTCTTCATAATCGATAAAATGCTGCCAATCTACATGCATGTGTGCATTTTTATAATGGTTTTAATATTTAAAATGTATTCACTATTTCAACTTTAATTCTACACAATAACATTTCTTCACTACATAGAAGTTGCCAGAAACCGAATTTCTCTTATGGTCCGTGGTACAGATTCCTTTAGTATCAAATTATTAACATCCGGCTGAAACTTCGTAAATAGCTTCATTTCATCGTAATCTACAAATATTTTATTTACGAAAATTCTCGGAATTAGGGTATTTTCAAACTGGAGGTCGCAAACTTTCTCAATTTAATTAGGTACTGAAAACTCGTGAATACCCATTTGCTTTATACTTGAATCGTAAGATAACTTGAGCATAAAGTCTAGAAAAAAGGTGGCCTTCAAAAATATTGAGCCGTTTGGGGTAACCTACGTACTATTGTCAAAATAGTGAGGTTATATTGGCCAACCGGCACAATATTTCTGAAGGCCACCTTTTTTCTCGACTGTCTGCTCAAGTTATCTTTCGATTCAAGTTGAAAGAAATGGTTATTTACAAGTTTTTAGTACCTAATTAAATGAAGAAAATTTACTGACCTCCAGATTGAAAACATCCCGATTCCGATAATTTTCGTAAATAAAATATTTGTAGATTACAATGAAGCTATTTATGAAGTTTCAGCCGGATGTCAATAATGTGATAAAAAGGGGCCTATACCACGGACTATTACTTTTAAGCATGTTCGACCACAAAGAAACCAGTTTTCATTATATATAAATAGCATACATGTCTAATAAAACTGAGATTTTTGAGGGAGCTTATATTTAAAAAATATCAAATAAATAAAAACTTTATGAATGATTTACTTCAGTAAATAAATTATAGAACCTCTTAGTTTCATAACTTTAACTTAAACTGATTCCGAATGTCTGTTTACATCCAGTAAACTGTGTTAAAGAAACATATATCAATTTATTATCATATAGTATATTGAAATTTATGTAATGAAGTCAATTGATGATCACATTCTTAAGTTTAAAATAACAAATAAATTGATTTATGTTTATCGACAATACATACATACTAAATCATTTGCGATATTCAAGAAAAATAATCATTAAATATAGGAACAATCACATGGTTGAATTATTTATTAATTTTCAAAGTTCGTATGTAACGGAATAAGTAAGGTCAGTAGAAAACACCGAAAAAATGTCGGAAATAAGGAGTTCTAATAATATGGTGGACTTTGTTCGTAGAAAGTCCGTTTGTTTGGTCAAAAATGTAGATATGGTGCTCATCTACTTCAAAATGCCGAACGCACTATTAATAAGAGAATGGTTACCTCTCTATACAAATATCTGGGAAATACAGCAAGAACTTGCGGCCAACATTTGCGCAAATGCTGGGAACATAATACTGAAATACAAAGGATCAGTATTGGACCCCTGGATACCGTTAGCAGGGCTCGAATACGAAGATGCACTCCTTTTCGTATTCGATGTAGATATTCTCGATGATATTGATGGAAAATTCGGTAAACCGTGGTCAGACAAAACTACAAGAGTTGTGAAAATATTGAATAAAGAAAATAAACAGATAGAACTGAATGTGATCGTCGAAATAGAAAACGTAAAGAAGCCTTGGTTAGGGGGGTTTAGGCATAAAATAACCAAGGTAGAGTACCACCATGCCGTTGTCCAGACCGACACGTTTAGAGAGAGGCGCCACAAAATGGGAGAACCTCCACCCAAGACGATAGACAATTCCTCCCAAACACGCAAATACCATCCCAAGGATACTGGATGTCAGACACGACATGATCATGGCACTCAGATGCCACTCCCTGGGCTTTACACTGCGACGTATCGTGACAGGATTATCGACCCCGGTACGTATAAGGAGTACGTCGAAGAGGTACATTCTAAACTACCTGTCACTTGTCTTAACAAGTTCAAGAAATTATGCATGGAAATTATCAATAGAAGTAAAGAAGAGAAGCTGAGATTGAAAAGGTTGGTTATGATGTCTGAAAAAATGAAAATACTCAAAGAGCATTCCCAGAAAGCTGAATTGAATTTCACTCTCTCTACAATATACCCGACCGATATTTACGGCATTGAAAACCTTTACAGTTTAGTAAACAACTGGTATGATAAAGAAAGAAAAAGACAGCTAGAAGCTTTCGTATTACCGACAGATCCAGGTTTCAAGGCTATCTTACTGAATTTATTTAAGAAAAAGCTAAATTATCTGCGACAGTTAGATGTACTCAAGACAAAGCAGAGGGATGAATGGATGAAAAAACACCGAATGAAACTTTTTGATGAAGCTGCCAAGCCCAAGATTCGTTATTATCCAAAAGGTAGTATAACAGTGGTAGAAACATGTGATGTATTAAGATCGAAAATTCTTAAGGAACTGTATAGTTGCTATATCAGGCGGGATTATAAGCCAGAGGAGAGGGTAGAAATGTTGCTCCAACTAAAGAGTAACGTGGAAACAACAATACCGATCGATCTGGCACTGCCTTTGATAGAATTATTAAATCGGGAGATTGATATGCTTTCAATGGGAATGAAACATCTTGAAGGACTCAGGAAGAGAATCACTGAAATGCTATTTTATTTGTTTACATCGGATGAAGTGTTTGAAAAATCCCTCTCGGAAAGCGAAGAAAAAATCACCTATAGCACAATGAAGTGCATAAGTTGCAATGAACTAAAGCCGAAGAAAGCATTCTTTAAGAGAAGCAGCACTAATAATCGTCATTGTAAATCTTGTTTGTGGCTTCATGATAGAAATGTAGGAGTTCCTCCACTAGGACCTTACCAGTTTATGTTAGATGAAATGAGGAAATATTTCAAAACCAGCAACAACTCGATCCTTGATATAATTCAACCATACGAGATATTTAGATTGGTCACTAAAGTGTGGAATGGTAAATCTGCATTATCGGGTAACAGAGACCCTTACAAACTTTGGCTAGCGAGGTGGGATGTTGAACAGGAATGGGCACCTTGGAATGCAATTCTTCTAACCAAGGATGAAGCAGAAATTCACGAACAAGTAGAAAAGCCAAAAGATTTTTATGAACCGCACTTCGTATTTGAAGTTAGACGTAAACAGTTACAAGCCAAAATGGATTTCAAAAAGTTGCGCGAGGATTATATCCAGTGGAAATACGATACTGATAAGGATTTTAATGCAAAAGCTAGGCAGAGAAAAGAAGAATATTTTAAATCTTGCGATCCTTTTTTCCGTCCTGCTGAGTACTTTTTACGAAAGCGGCAGGATACTAATAATGACGCCACTGAAATCAGATTAAGTACTTATTAATTACAAAACTTATTATAGGTTCGAATTTGAGTTCTATTTTTTTTTTAATGGTTTTAAGTAAAAGAAGGTCACGTATTGAGTCATTTGTACATTCGTAAAATTATTTTAATAAAAAACGTGTGGTTATTTTATTCTTGAAAAAAAAATGAGCGTTCTATATTATTTCTTTTCATACACTTATATATGAAATATATATTAAAATAAAAGTATTGCTATCGTAAGAAAAATCGAATCTCAGTTTTCACCAGAAATACAAGTTCTGTCGCGTAAAATGGTCTGTGTAAGTTTTTTTTTGGTAGATGAACATTCTTGTGTAGGCGTATGCGTGCGCGCGCACTTGTGTCACCTTGTAAATGACAGACGGAAAAGTCGTGGCGAGATTAAAAAAAAATTAATTCGTGGCGGACCTATGGAATGAATCGCGACCTTCCTACTCAGGCTGAATAGGTTTGGTTTTACCTCAAAAACCAGATTATACCTCCGTATCTTAGAAATGGTGAGTAAGGTTATCAAGAAAAGAAAACCGGAAAGTTGTACAAAATGAATTAAATGATACTCCCAAAGTAAATGAAATCATTTACTATTATTTTAAAGCTCGGCTAACCAAAAGTAGGTAATGGGTGGAATTATCATTTCGGAACTGATTAAAGACTCATTTATTGCTGGAAAAGCTTCAAATATTTCAAGCAGCTAGTGAAACATATGATAATAAAATTTAATAACTTATCCACAAATAATATTAACCGGCCCTATATCAGTAGAAATTTGACTATTTATGTGTGTACTGCACTCGGCACCAGATTTTCTTTTTATAAAACTTAAAGTCAGGGAGCACGTACGAAAAAAATTTAAATCAAAATTACATAGAGAATTTGGAAAGCATTGTTTTTTTTAATACCTATAACGTTTATGTTAAAAAATTAGTCGGCACCATTGGGGTCATAATACCTATAAAATGGCTACTGATTTAAAAAGAATTTGAGGATCGAATCGGGAAAATTATTACGAAAAATGTGGGTATTTTTTAAATTTTTGTAATATATAAAAAACAAAATTGCTAAGGACACCCAAGAATAGAAAACTTTTTACAGTCAAAAAAGCCAGATTTTTTCGATTTTTTTTTTTTTTTTTTGCTACTATAACTCCTAAACGGTGCACCGAAGCGAAAACACATTCCTCAAAAGATAACAGAACGTTAAATTATACTTCGAACGAGTACCTGAACTTAATAATTTGGATAAGTGGCATGCATAATGACGATAAGTAGTCAACAGAATCTGAAATTTGTCAAAAGCTGAAACAAATTATTGTAAATGTTTTTTTAGCTTGAAAATGAGTTCCGTGAAAGAAAAAACTCATAGAATAAAAGTTGTAGATCATTGAATTCCTCATGTATTGGGTAACAACAGTTTTAATGTGGGTCATTAATTGGCTCGAAATTTGTAATCCCCCGATGGCTGTTAATTGGTAATGAATGTATCTGTGATTTTAAATACCAAAAAATTTAATTTTAATTTGAGCCAATTATATCATTTGAATCGCGATTCGATATTTCTTAATGAAATTCCTTTTTTTTTTTTTTTTTTTTTTTTTTATTGAGAAATAATACATTTTGCCACATTTAAGGGCACTGAGTGAGGCCCATTCATAACATATATACAATACAATGAAAAAAATAAAAATATATATTTATATAGCAAAGGTAAAAACTATAAAACCAAAGAAATGTAACCTGAAATCAAATTAAAAAAAAAACATTGGTAGCAAATTAAATAAGTCATAAGTAAAACAAATAAATACATAAAAAAGAAAAACATTCATACTTAATTACAATATTTACAAATAGCCAAGGGAGCTCCGAGTCCAGCCCTTTCCTCCACCTGTGAAGGACAAAGCGAGACTCTAAGAGATCCCAACACTTCTCTCTCAGCCGCATCACCGGCAGGAGTCCAGTAATAAACAACAATAAATCTGTAGAATAGATACCCATACTGTTGAAATATTTAATTTCACAGATACCTTCATTACCAATTCCCAGCCATCGGGATATTATCGATTTTGAGCAAAGTAAATGACCTATTTCTTCTTAGGGTACAGGAACTTTTACAGGAAGTGTAAATCATAATTCGATATTTAAATTTTTGGAATCATTTTAACCCAGTTCTGTGAAGATATGCGAACTATGCCTAAACTATTTCAGAAGTCAGATCAATATGGCTCTGTCTGGCGATTTGCGACAAAACTGGAGATTGTGTGGTCCGCAGATGTTAGCGCCGCTCAGCGGGGAACTGAGCACACTTTGTCGGGGCACAGCGGGGTATGGACCCCACACCGCTTCTACTTCTTAAATTTTCTGCCTTAAAATGCCGCTTACGTCGTAAAGATGTTGACCTAACTCTCTGTGGGTGGTAGGTCGTCGGGATGTTATAACAAGGAAAACCACTTATCTTGCTATAAATAAAAACTTTTCTTAAATTAACAAATATTGAAATAAAAGTTGTCACATTTATTGTGTGTATTGGCAGTTGAATTGAAGTGAAGTCATATTTTGATGTTTAAATGAGTCATAAAAGTTAAAAATCGGCCTCTCTCAAAACTCTCAAAATGGCATAAAAATATCCTCGAAAAAAATATTTTCAAACAATATAGGTTAGTACAAACAAATAAAAATTTTGGATGGGATTAAAAGATAGAAAAAAAAAAGTGAAATTATAATTCATTTTACATCAAAAGCTGTCAATTTTTGAACATGAAGGAAGAAAAAAAAGAAAGAAAATCGTGCGAAAAATTCACGAACGTACTCAACACTTTAGATAAATATTGTGTGACCAAGAACTGGAAGATACTCATTGAGAGGTATATAACCACAATCATCATTCACCCCCCGGGTGATATAAAAATTTAAAGTCTATACGGGGTGTTCCCGGGTCAGGGGATGAGGCCGGGAATTAATGGTAGAGTTAAAGGCTCCCTCGACACCGGGACGAGAACTCGTGACTATATTTATCCAGTTATCTTTTATATCAGATTACCGGCCTATCTCTAATAGATCTGTGCAAACGCGTTAGCCCGTTCGGCCACCAAGCTCCATAATATAATAATAATATATTTAACAGATATAATAATATTTAACAGACATTAACAAATATCGCCCAATTGGTATATCAGATTATCATTATCTCTTGCTTATACCCTATCGTTGGACTTGTTATTCCTTTTCGACGCAAAACGGTTTCTGGCTAAAATACATCATGCACAAAAATAGAACAACAAAAAATTCAATGAATTAAAAGGAACAAAATATATTTTTAAGGAATTAGGCCTGTGAAATCAATGTACAGACAATAGTTTAATTTGTTTTTAAATCTATATTATACATCGCCCCTTATTGCCAATTTATATTAATATATGATTATAATTATTCTTATTGCCAATTCGTAACCACAATAACGGAGAAATTCGTTCTTAAGTAAAACTTACGTCCAGCTTTATATAGGTAAAATAAAATATTACATAGTCACTATAAACGTTTTAATATAACAGAGAGATGATATTTACAAAAGGTATATATGTGTTTTTTTTTACTTACTTATTTTTAAGTTATTTTATTTTATTTATTGTATATACTTTTTGGTAATTATATATTTGGTATTTTACTTCTGTTTATTTTGTATTTTTAAGGACATATAATGTGAATGTGATCTTACCTTATTATAAACAATGTCCAAGCAACAGATTCTTGTAATATTCAATAAATAAATAACGTAAGAAATATTTACAAACAAAAACGTTCATGTATGTCGTACATGGTTAAAAAAAATAGTACTAATAAATAGCACATCTAAGCCTTTTACGTTAGGAGACACTTAAATATTCTTAGAAAATAAAAATAGAGAATATCCGTGAAAAATAAAAATTGCAAACTATTAGTATAATTATATTTTTAGACGGGAAAATGACACAAGATTTTATTTTTTAGACGATTATACATAAAGAACGATTTTTTTTCATCAATGCAAGACAACATTTGCCAATTTTTTTATAAGTCGATGACAGAGACTGAAACAATAAAGCACAAATTAACTCCATTTGAGCGAAACGAATCCGTAACTGACAGATTAAAAGAAAAAAATTAAAACGCTCCCCCAATAAAAAAAATATATATAAAAACTGACAGAAGGGACGGTTGAGCGGGTCGCAAGTGCATCGGAAACTGCCTCCGGCATCGAGCAATACTAGCGGCTAATGTTTTATGTATGGAGTGTCAGCGGCACGGGTGCCTGTATTTATTTATTTATATGCAAACAGGAACGGTATTAGCCCATCTTCCATAAAAGTAGAGCGGAGGAGAGAGATATTGGAGAGGAAGGTTACGACTCAATCTGCGTCCCATCTGCGACTTGCCGCCCTGCGATTCTTTACTGCGAGTCACCTCTGACGGTCTGAGGCGAGCTGCTTTATGGTTGAGCAGGATGGGGTGGCTATAATCAACATGATCCTTTATTGCTACTTTGATAGTCCCAAACTTGCCCAGGAGCTGTTTATTGGTCGAATGCTTGTTATTGGCACTGCGTTAACGTCTACAATCTGATCGGACCATGTCATCAGGCACAGATCACAACTGGTCATGTCTTATACAATACTACAGAAGTAACAACTACTTTTAAATATTTTACATATTTATATATAGTTTGTCTATTAAAGATGTATTTGCGCCTGTCAACTGATTGTTGACAATCAGCAAATGTGATGGCGATTCCTGAAATAATGACATGACAGGTATGTGGAAGGAAAATGCTCAGCAGTACCTGTACGGATTTTCCACTTCCCTAAAATTTCCACTCATAAAATGGATGAAACAAAAAATTCATAGGAAAAATTCAACTTTTTGTTTGTTCGGAGTTAACGAAACCAATACTTTTCTTCAGTCAGAACGAAATTAATTAAGATGGAATATAAAAATATGAGTATAGTTGACACACTTTTGATACTTAAGGAGAAAATCGAGACCACGACGAGCTGGTTGAACTTCAATGGAAATAAACACAATCACAAATGACTTTTTTTTTACAAATTCAGAGTAAAAATTACTTTAAATTTACTGAAAATTACATGAAATCTAAGTAACG